CTCTTCACAAATAACTACTACATCTTCCTTTCCCTAATTTCTGCTCTGCCAATACTGTGCTGTTTTGCCTTGCTAACATGCCTACATCATACCTTTAACAAACCAATGTACATAAAAGTTATCGTATTTCGTAATGATGAGATAAATGTCTATTAAGATGGCTTTATACATGTGAAAATAAAGATTGGAAGTTCTTCAAATTCATTTGTGTCAGCCTCATTTCCTGTCTTTCCACTCGACTATCAAAAGCTGCTAAACAGCCATCTACCTAATCGTGCATCAAAAATAATATATGTATATATATAGTAAATCACTGTGTCTTTTAATATTGCTATTGATAGTGGGTTGTCTTTGTATTTTCTTGGCTTAAGCAGTGCCATACTAAAAAAATCAGGATTTTACGTTTAGATATCAATCCTATTGAATACTAGCTGATTAATCACGTTGAGAATGGTGACTTATTTCTGTGTAGTCACCAAAAGTTGAGAATAACAGAGAAGTAATGTAGAATGGGTTTCATCTTGCTTGAATATGAAAGAATTTAACCGCTGCTTTTATTTCCGGTTGGGAATAATGTTTCTTAAAATCAGGAGTTTACCAACAGTTATTAAAAAGCAGAATCATATCCAGAACTCCTAGAAACAGTGCCATCTGTAACTGAAATAAACATAAAAACATCTATAACTAAAAATAAGCATAATAAAGCTTTTAATTACAGTATTTACTGATGTATTGCCCCTTACTAATTTTACTGCTTGAAAACCGGAGGGGAAATATATATGGTGTGTACTATTTCTAATGAGATGGCTTAAATGAGAAACATAGCACATTAAAAAACACACATAAGACACATTAATATTATTATGCTCTGGGTTTTGTAAAATATCAGTTTCAATAATATTTATTTTTTATTATTGAAACATGTCACATACACATGTCAGTTTCTTTTTATTTACACATGGACTCATCAGTATCAATAATATTACACACAATAATTTCTTATTAATGCATACATTTTTACCATAAATCAGAAGTTTCTAAATTATGTCCCGGGAAAACTAGGGGAAGGGTGACTATGCTAGTATATATGGTATATTTCATTAATTCAATTTTTTTAATATTTTTGAAATCCTCTTGTATTTTGAGACGCTAAGGGGGTAATTCTATTTCAGTCAAGCTATTTTAGTTTTAATTTCATTTAATAATTTTAAGGTTTAATGATTAAGGTTTAAATGCCTTAATATATGTTAAAAGCCCACAGCATTTAAAAATATAAAAAAGTTATTGCTTCTCCTGACTTAATTAACCCTTTGCGGCACCTAGAAATTTCCTTCTGTACGCACAGAAAAATTGAATGAAAAAGGATTTATAGGTTGCTATAGGTTACTCTGAACCTTCTTTATTTATAGTAGATGACAGCTCAACACAAACCATTCCATATATTTTAGCCATGTTTAGTTTTTTAAGACCCTAATTTTTCAAAGAAATCTTCCAGATTTATTTTAGGGTATAAAAGGAATTGTTTGAAAAGAAATTTCTATGTTATTTTTGTTTTGGCTGTATGCTAATCTCCTTATTCTATATTAGTTTTAAATTTTAACCTTGAAATCATGCCTAAAATCAAACGGTGAACCCTAGGTGTGCCCAGACTGGGCTCACCGATAATCTAGGACAACTGAGAGTCTGTATTCTTTGTTTCTCTGCATCTTATCGATCAGTTCATTGACAACAATGCTAGTTTCAGCATTCTTTTCGATACTCTATTCAATCAGTGTGCCACTTTGGGCACACCCACAGAATTAAAACGATAAGTGCTGTCTTCACAAAATTTTACTTGTGTATTCCTCTAGGCCTAATTAGACTGTCTACCTTTTTTTTTTTTAATCAATACTCCGACTTTAAAAGGTAGTGTGGTGGAAAGGTTTAACCAATCTGGTACTAATAGTATATCCCTGCGATAAGAGGGATTGTATAAATCAATATGAAATCCTTGGGAATCCTGCTGTTGTCATTGCCATGATAACTGATACCAGTTCAATTTTTTTTTCTTGGTGGCTTTAAATTTGTAAATCCATTGAGTGGCTTCTAACAAGAAAGAAAAAAAATTGAACTGGTATCAGCTATCATGGCAATGATAGGAACTGCAGGATTTCCAAGGATGTCAAAAGTGTGTTTGAGTATGCTAAACTAATATTTTCAGTGAAAAGAAATAAATAGCTTGACTGTAGGTTGTGCAGAATTCATCAGTTTGTGAGTTCAGTATGGTGGCGATACATTTTGCAGAACATTTCATTATGATTTTAATACAGGGTTCGTACGGTCCTTAAGAGTCCTTAAATTTTTTGCAATTGATTTTTGGTCCTTAAAAGTCCTTAATTTTGGTCAAAATCAGCAGAAGGTCCTTAATTTTAATCATCTGAAATTTCTGTCTGTTTTTATGACTGCCATTTTGAGTGTGAATTAGCATTTTGGAGGAATATTTTTGGCGATTCACTGACATATATGGTTATCTTTTGAATGGGTTCATGGGTTTAATTTTGTTTCTATTTCTAATAAAAATGTTGGGATACTTGAGTTTCTAAGCAAGAAGTGAAACATAAGCATTTTGAAATTCCTTTTTTCTAATAAAGAACTCTTAAACAACTTTTCGCTTTTGGGGATGTGAATTCTTTTATTAAACAGCTCTAAATTTGAAGACTTGTCAACATTCTGGCAATTTTAGGATCAGTTTCTATAGAAAATTTCTAATTCCGAGATCTGACAATTTTTCGACCAGTTTTTTTAAAGCATCATAACATTGATAAATTTCATTAAAACAATGGTAATATATTGAAATTATATATATAAAAAATAACATTAAAATAAAACATTCTATTTTTCGCTGTCATGTTTTAAAGTTTCATTTTGGCAACTTATACAATATTATGAATCTGATAAATAAGGCATATTGCTGTAAAGCATAATTTACGAAACAGCTCTCAGCAAAAGCAAAATTAGCTATTAGAGCATTAGTTTGCATATTGAGACAACTCTCTAATTGTTAGAAAAGATGATTAAAGAGAAGGAAATCTATATAAACTAGACAAAATGTTTGGAAAGGCTTCAAATTAAAATGAAGGATAAATATTTTGTTGAGTGTTGTTACAAAACATAAATGTTTTGTAGCTTTTAATGTGTATCCTAATATCGTTTAAGAATTAATGTCATAAATTACATGTATTTTAAACCGTGAAATTTTATTAGATTTTGATTTTAATAGGCTTTTTTAACAATAAAATTTAATAGTGATCATGTAAATCCATAATGACTAAGGTTATCTAATTACCTAATTTAATTATTTATAACTAACTGCTTACCCTTAAAAGTTATCTCTACATATTGAATACATAAGTGAGTTATTGCCTTTCATTAACACTTACTGTGGTCACAAGATAAAACACAAAAATTTAAAAATTCAAGTAAAACTTATTCTTTGCATCTAGTGAAACTTAAAAATGATACAAAACAACTTATCATCTCTGGTACTTTAAATCGCTTATTGGAACATTAAAGTATATTAACTGGGCTACAATCCCTCTCTACACAAAGCTATGACACTAACTGCATCAATCAGAGCCTGACTATCAACACTTGCCAACTGTGTCTACATCAGACCTTTCAGGTTTGTTCTAATGAGCAGGTCTCTCTCTAGACAAGCAACAGCAGTGACAACATTGTCTTTTGTTATGAATCGTGCTGATTATGATCTTACTTCTCATTTTAACCTATACTGTTTGACATAAAATCTACCTGCTATTTACTAAACCTCTAGACTGACTAAGTATGTAACAAAATGAGACATAAAAAAATCAACATAAATCTAACTATTAGTAAAACGTAAGTAAATGACATCTTCTTTCAAATATGTCCAACTATTATAAGTGTAAAATATTTCATCCACTTGATAAATTGTATAAAGTTTATTTTATTCTCAAACTTATTAATCATTATGTTAATTAATTCATGTTTAGTAATAATGCATACTACTCAGGGATCTATTTTATTTTTAGGATTGTATTACAAAAGTGAAATTCAGGCATAGAATAATATTTTTAATTGAATTTATTCAGTTCCCATTTGCTCATAGGTCCTTAATTTTTTCATTAATGGTCCTTAAAAGTCCTTAATTTCTGTGTGCAGAAATGTGTCCGAACCCTGTAATAGTGCAGAATGAGTTTCTCTCAGTTCTAAAGAGTGAACATACCTACAACCTTTGAGTATTCTAAGTTAATACTGAGAAGAGAATAAAAGAATTCAGTATACTGAGAAGTGAATAAAAGAGATGTATAAGATTGTTTATTAGAAAAGTGAAAATAAAGAATTTAAAAATTCCTCTATAATTCCTTTATAGAATTATTGGGAAATTTTGTTGGCAAAAATAATATTAGACTTTTTTTTTTTTTTTTTTTAACTGTCTGCTTATGTGTGTGTGTGTCTGAATTTATCATACATCCTGAATTTTTTAACAGTCTTTGTTTTGAAATAGTAAATGACTGTTTACAAAATATCAAGGTTTAACGAAAGTTTCCCACCACTGCAAATATCGTTTGCGCAAACGGTACACATTGCCGTGTTTAATCATATTTTGTCATATGATTTCTGGCATTTGAAAGAAAGAGACTTACTTTCTGGGCTGAAGGCTTTGGAAAACTACCAAAACATTGGCAGAAAATCATAGGTTTGGGTGGCGATTACTACCCGCACTAAAGATACTGCTTTCATGTTTTTTTCCTCCCTAACTTTATTAAGAATGTTTTTTTGGAAGAAAACTTCCATTTCAACCAGATATTTACATATATAAATAGAAAAGCAGATATATCATTTAGCACAGACAGACATTTAGTTTATATTTAAGATCTATTGCAATAGTGAAAGTGCTTTTTTTGTGTGACCTTTTTGTGGTAACTTTTTTGTTGCTTAATAATAAATTCTTTAATGTGATTGAATTTTGTTTGTAATAGGAGCAACTGTTAACAAAATTGTTGAAAATGGACTTTGCCTTGGATAAAGAAGAATATGCTGTTGATATTCGGGATACTGCTATTAAGGTAATATTTATAAATAATACTTGTTAATATATTTAGCCTAGATAAATTATTATTGTTCCATCAAAAACATTTACTCGCATTACATCTTTAATAATACTTTAATTTTTAACTGTAAACTTTTAATATAGATCACCACATGCTTGTGTATTTTTGTGGCTTAAATTTTATTGCTAATTATTAAATTAAAATAGGGTATTTAAATGATTAAATAAAGCTTTTTTTGTTAATGTAATAAATTGTATTTAAAAAAAGAGAGAGAGAGGCATGAAATGTAAAATACAGAATAAGTTTAAAAGTTTTAATAAAATACTTATACATCTTTAAGCTGATCTCCTTTTCTTGCATGCTATTTTGCTTTTCTTATTGAATCTCTCTTTAATGCAATTATGAGCCCCCCCCCCCCCCCCGTTTGATCTATAGTGTAACAATAGTGATGTATATACGTAAATATCTGATTTTTTAAAAATTTTTGATTAAATGAAATATTTTTATATGCATAAAAGATATGCAATTGCATTCATTTCTAAGAAATACATGAAATAACACTGAAAAATTAATGTTTGTTTATACCTTTTTATAGCACACAGAAGACAGAAAAAATAAAAACAATTGTGTAGACAGTTTTAGAACAGAGTATTATGATTAAACTCTTTTTCTGGGAAAATTAAAAAAATACATTTTTGAATATTATATTTTTTTCATCGTATGGTTGCATAGTTATTATATTTTATGTTCTTTTTTAAAGTATATAAACAACATTGAAACAGATCGTCAGTATCGTAGTTGGCCTGGAAGTGTTCAAGATTTGTTGAGACCAACTTATCCAGGCATGCTTCGTAGCATTAAGAAAAACATATATCATTTAGTAAGTATTAAAAGGTTATGTTATAAATGGTAATAAAATGTAATTTTTATTGTTCTTAAATTATGAACTTAGAGCTAATGCTTTTAAAAAATTTCAAATATATTTGTCTTATTTTTGTCTCTGAGTTTTGTTGTGGTAAAATATTTAAAGAAGTAATATGTATCATTGCTAATTAAACTCACTGAGAATAAACTCAGCCATGTATTTTGTTCAAATATCCAGGAACCAAAACAGATACCAGCCGATCAATAGAAAAACCACCATCATTAAACTCAACTTCATTGTTTATTAAACTTAGTTTGGCAAAAGACTGATTCTTCTGTGCCAATGTTCTGCTTGTACCTATCAGCGCTTTTCATAGTTCATCTATTTAATGTATTTTGCATTATGACTTTATCATTCAAATATTTAGTATTTCAGTAAAACGGGTTGGAACAAAATTTTTCTACCATCCGATCCTTGTACTTGTGACACACTGTTTTCAGAGTTTTTTTTTGTTCGCACCATACTCAGAACAGCAAAATTTCTGTATCTTAAGGTTAGAAAAAAAGCAATTCTGTAGAGGCATTCTAACTAAATGGATGTTCCTTCTTGAATACCAGCTAATAGGAGGTGAAAGGGCAACTTTTATATCCCATCTCTTAAGGTTTACACCTTCATATTCTTCTGCTTGGCGTAAATACATTATGCGTTAATGATTTAATTTTATGAGTTTTAAAATTATTCAGAAAATGCTTCTAAACAATATTGTACGTTAAAAATCTTGGAGTGGAACGAAAGTAAAACAATGGTCATGCTTGTAATCATGAAATGGCAAACTGATTAAACAGACAAAGTACATTCTTTCTGCTGGCTAGAAATGTAAATTTTAAAATTAGAAGAAATTAATGGAAGAAGCATTTTTCCTCTCAAAGCCCAAAAGGGACATTAGTCCTGGATGGGATAGTCTTGAAATGTCATTTTGCATTGAATGATTATAAATAGCATATCTCTTTTGAAATGTTATTACCAAATATTATTGCCCTGTATTATATTTAAAGAAGTTAAATAGTGAGAAATTTGCGTGAATGTGTGAATATTTCTCGCATTGTAGATGATGAAGCAAGCAACACTACCTAGGGCTATTAAATTTTGAATAACATTGTTTTCCTCCAAAACATGAGCACATGGAAGCCCGGATTTTATAGTTCATATTTTGTATAACTTTAATGAATTTTTGGTAGTGTACTCAATAGTTTGAAAGTGAGTAGTAGCAACATCACTTTAGTACCAGAGCCAGGCTCCGGTGCAATTTAAGCTCTGCACAAAGAGTATCTGGAAAAAGGTAAAATCATCGACAGAAAGGTTTACAGCGAGATAGTAGTCCATGCTGACGTTGCTATCAAGGAAAAACGTTGAACTGAGTTCTGGCACAAAAAGGTAAAGACCACATGTGTCTGTGTTTAGCAGCTGGACTCTGTATGGGCTTGAATGGGATCTTTTGCCACACCCACATATAGCAATGGCATCGCTCCTTCGGACTACAACCTTTTTTTACACCTGCAGCTACATCTTGCTGGTGCTATCTTCCATTCTGCACAGTACGTCCAAAATGAGGTTGAGCTGTTTTTGGACTCACTGCCACTAACTTTCTGAGCCCAAAGGCTTTAAAAAGTACCAAAATGTTGGCAGAAAATCATAGATTTGGGTGGTTATTTATTACCTGCACTAAAGATACTGCTTTCATGCTTTTTTTATTCTAACATTATTAAGAGTGTTATTTGGCATAAAACTTTCGTTACAGCCAGATATATGTATAGTAAAAAATATGCAACGATGCTTTATTTTAAGATGCACTGCATTACAATGTGTTATTATATATATGCTATATATATTAATAAATATATTTAATTTTTAAGACTTATAACTATGCATTGTCATTAGCTTACATATTATTTAATATTCTACTATTCTTATAAATAAGATATTTTATATCTCATTTTACTTTCTTTCAGATTATTGTTGCTGATCCATCAAAAAGCGATGCTAAAGATATTTTTAAACTTGCTGAGTCTTTCTATGTTCACAAAGCACCTGTTAGGCAAGTTTATTATTCATTTGTTTTCTTTAAACTGTTTCATAGACATAGGTATATTTTGCTTAACCACTTGCCTGATTATCCCGAGTTATCTTGGGTTCGTATATATTGCAGTTTATTATTATTCCGAGAAAACTCTGGCGAAGCAGAATTTGTTAGTATGATTTCTTTTATTACGGTTTTACTCGGTCTGGAGGAAATGAAAGGAAATATTCAGCTTTGATTGGCAGTTTGCCAAATTTTGTTGGTTGTGTGGTTCTTTTGGAGGGACTGGTCGCGTGTTTCCCTACTGTATAATATATGTTGGCTTGTGGATTAGTAATGTATAAAGAGGGATGCAATCGTTGGAAAAAAATAAAATAATGGCGATGATGGAAGATAGCGAAAGCGATGATTTTTCAGATAGAAAAGATTATGAAATTTCAGATTATGAAAAGGTAAATAAATAAATAAATAAATAAAAATAAAATAAAATCCAACAAGACCGTGCACTTTGTGCTCCCGTGAAAGAGATTCCAGCGGTAAGCCAGTAAGAAAAGAGACCAGATACCAGTGTAGAATGTCAAGTATCACTCTGTGTTGTCCCTTGTTTAAAAAACTATCATAACAAAGATTAATATTTAATTTTTTTTTTTTTGTTTGCCCGAGATAAACTCGGGATAGTAAACTATATTAAAAATAAATGCTTTTACACCTTCAAAAAATTAAAAATTCAACTTAAAAAAACTACATATTTTGATTTGTTTCGTTTTGTTGTATTAATAATAAAATAAAAAAAAGTGATGAATTTTTGCAATTTTTTTCAAAAAAAATTGTAAGGGAAGCTGTTAATAATTGTCATTTTTAAATGAAGTATTATAATAAATGAAAACTCTAATTAATATATTTTTGATTAAAATTTATTAATTAATGTTGCTATAATTTATGCTCTTTCTTGATATAAATGTGAAACTGGTCTGAAAGGAAAATATTTCTAATAATATAAGAATCTTAAATTTATAGCAAATGGAAAACATCCTTGCATAAAACACTTCAGAATTTTAGTATGTCTTTCAGCTCCAGCTTATGATGACTGTTACCTTTTTACTTTTTTTTTTTTTTTTTTTTTCTTAAATATTTCATCATGGGCTTCAATTATTAGTTGAATTTTTTTCTCGTGGATTCTTCAAACTGTCAACCATATCACGTAGGTACACATTGTCATCAATCTTGACAGCACATTTGGCATGTATTTTGATTACCAGTGTACTACTTTTAAATATTTTATCCTTTTTGATATGTTTATTCAATATTTTTATAGTAACTGTTATTTTCCAGCATTGCAAGTTTTGTAATTTTTAATCTTTTTTTAAGACTTCTTAATTTATCTTTTCATTAAGTAATGCAGAACAGTTAGTCTGTAATTGTATTAAAAAGATATTTTTTAACCAATCATAGTTACACGGTAACTATGAAAGAGCCGCAGTTGTGGAAGCCTTAAATTAGATAATGAACTCCATATTCTTTGAGTTTTAATAGTGAAATCTTGAGATATTCTTTATATGAGTGATATTACATTAAGAAAGGGGGCAGTCTCAAATTAAATATTTTATATAGAAGAGATTAAGAGCTACTGCTTTAAATAAGTTATAACAATACCTAAGAGATTTCCCATTCCAAACATTTTATTTGTATTAATTTTGTGGCTCTGAAGCCAAACTTTTGATTTGATATCCTGTTTTATTACTAAGCAATTAGATGACATTTTTGTTTAGCCTAGAATTAATCTGAAACTGAAATAAGTGTTTAGGAATTTAAATTGCAGTATTTAATTTACAATAAGCATTTAAGGTAAGAAGAAAATAAGGTAATTGTTTCAAAACCGTAAAAAACAACCTTATATTTAGCGTAGGTATAATGAAACACTCAATCGATTTCGAGGGCAGCTAAAGGTCCCTCCTCATCAGGAGAAAGAAATACATAGAAAGAAGAAAATAGGAATCACAGAAAACACGTGGTGCTTATCAGCACTGCATGTTGGTTATAACTAGATATTTTAATCAGAGTTGCACTGGGCCGCCTACTTACTTAACTGAGCCAGGCTGTCTGATCAAGCATAAAGAAATATTAGCGAAGTTAAAAATAGGGAGCGAGGGGCAAATGCACATTACGCTCAAAATCTGAACTTCAAATAATGGAAAGCAACCACTGAACAACGGATTTTTATACCCTCTGGTAGTACCAAGTGCGAGGAAGTAACGCCATCTATCGGCAAAAAATAATTGAATTAAGACAGTAGAAAATTTTAAAGGCATTAGGAAGGACGGATTGGACTTCAAATCATTAACTAAACTTTCTAAAAAATCTTTGTGAATGTGAAAAGCCTCAAGAAAATCCAATTCGCCTATGGAAGAAGCCTTTTGGATGATTTTTGCAGACCCAAAATCAAAATTATGGTTAAAAGTCCAGCTATGATACGCTATTGAAGACTTGTTAATTTCCCCTTTTTTGACCCTTTTTTTGACATAAGATTCATGTTCCTTGATACGAAACTTCAACGCTCTTTTTGTTTGGCCAATATATCTTAAACCACACTGACATGATATACTATAAATTCCCCAAGAATTCAAGACAGAAACGCAATCTTTTAGAATCGAAGGGTGAATTTTATTAATAGGGGAGAAACCGACTTGAAAAATTGAATTTCTGGAGAATCCGTGCAATTTTATAGCTAACAGAAGGATAAAATGGAAGCACGACAAGGTCATTGATATTATTTCTAACAGTGGAAATGTCCTTCTTTGATGGGAATCTGAAAAATTTTTGACGGCTTTATCAATAATCACGGGAGAAAATCCACGGTCAATCGCAACTGCTCTCAAATAATTAAGTTCATTGGTAAGCAAAGATTCAGAGGAACAACTTTTAGCGCGCGGAAAAACATAATAGTAAAAGAAGCCATTTTTTTTTGGGGTGGCATGACTTGGCATGGGGTGGTAAACAAACTGCAAAGGGTTTACGGTACACAGTGGTGCTAAAATCGGGTTTCTCATTGCGGATTATAAGAATATCGAGGAAGGGGAGGGAATTGTTGGATTCAATTTCAAGAGTGAATTGGATGGCTGGATCAATTGAATTCATAATAGATAGAATCTCGGATAAATCCTCTTTATAACCGTCAAAGTGCGAAAGTCTCGTCAACATAATAAATAACCGAATCCAAAGACGAAAAGATAATTTATCAAATAATTTTTCATCTCAAATAGTGCATATAAATGTCAGCAAGTACCGGACTGAGAGGATTACCCATAGCCAATCCTTCAACTTGACGAAAATATGCATTTTGGAAAACAAAGTGGGTTTGACTTAGAGAAACTTTAGTAAGCGAAACCAACTCATTAATTTCAGTATGTGTGAAGTGAAATTCCCGAAGCCTAGTTTCAAGACAATTTAGTGCTCCTTCGACCGGAACATTAGTAAACAATGATTTGACATCAAAATTAACATCAAAAGGTAATTGTTTGCTTTTTTTTTTTTTTTTTTTTTTTTCTATTCTTCTTTTTCTTCTCCTTTTTTTTTTTTTTTTTTTTTTTTTTCCATTTTAGGGAAGGGATTATGAGTTGTCTTTTAAAATTAGTACAGTAGAAGTCCAGAAATCCGCAAAGTTTGGGACCAGAGGTTGTGCGGATTTTAGGATTTTGTGGATTTCATGACAGAAAAGATAAATCATAATATTCAGACTAAAAGGGCAAAATAAATAAGGTGTATTTGATACATTTAATTAAATTATTATATACATTATTGCAATAACTAATTATATGCATTAAATTATTATTACATATATAAATTGATTATATTATACATTGTATTATATATGCACAGCATCGAAGTTTGCAGATTTCGCCTCGTGCAATTCTGGTTTCGGATTCCGGTGTTAGAATCACTGTTGCTGTAAAATTTCAACAGCTTTTCTTTATTTTTCTATATATCATACACAATCCTATCACAACTCCATACAATTCTGCTATGAACCGAGGAGTAGCATCTGTCTCCATCTTTTGCAGAATTTGCACTTTTTACATTAGTGTCAATGCAACGTGTTTACGCTTTTCAACGTTGCAAGCAGTAAAATCATGAGTGTGTTTCTTATCTGTAATTGTACTAAAAAGTGCTGAAATTTAAAATATTCTTAATTTATCCACAAAATATCCAGATTAAAAAAAAAAAAAAAAGCACTAAATAATCTCGTGAACTAACAAAGTTCAGAAAATACAGTGTGAAATCGTGAACTTGAAAGAAGAATTGAGTGAATCATCTGCTTTCTTACCTCGATGCGGATTAGAGGGCAAGAAACTTTTATCATGATGTCAATAATTTGGTATTTCTGTTATGACTCATTATTATTCGGTTATTATGATGTCATTATTCGCTAAGTATTTTTTCTTCAATATTTCATACTTAATGTTGCAGTTTCCGGAACCTATAAACTGAATGTTTATATTTTGAGAGGCAACCTGGATTTCAGGAGTTGACAGATTTCGAGTCGGCGGATTTTCGGTATTTGACTGTATTTAAATTCTTTTTAAAGGCGAGCATTTCTTATTGTAAAATGATTTAGTAAAAAGAAGGAAGATTTCAGATTTAGAAAACAAGAGGATAAAATGTGGGATATATGAAAAAATGTAAGGAAGATATAACTTAAAACAAAGAATGAAAAGAGAAATAACCAGCAAAAAATATTTTATGAAAAATAATATATATTTTGGAATTCGGTAAGTATACTGAAAGGTTCTTCAGGAAGAAAATGTTATCTTTCGCAGTAGAAGTTTATTTAATATAATAAAGATTGATATTGAAAGAATGGATTTAAAAGAAGTCTGTGCAGTCTGCATTTAAAAAGTAATGTATGTTACAATGATATAATTAAGTTTAAAATAAAGAAACAATAAATCTCCATCGAAGAAGCAGAAGTTCGATCATTCTGTCCTAAATTTATTTAAAAGGAAGTGCAAATTTTAAATTTCAAGTGATCAGAACATAGCCATGCCTTTACATGTCTTGCAATACCTGTTGCTGTATATGTTGTCTTATGTCTTGCAATACCTGTTGCTGATATATACAGCAACAGGTATTGCAAGACAGCAACAGGTATTTGTACTTATACAGTACAAAAATCCGCACGTCCATTATCCGGTATGATCTAAAATCCGGACCTCAAACCCACAAACTTTTTTTTTATATGCTTTATGCATGCGCGTTTGATTTTTCCTTCCATAATAAAACATATAGAGATTTTTCTCTAAAAAATTCCGATTCTTAATTTCACTTAAGCACTAAATAAAATACTTCGTTATGGAAAAACAATCATGTAAGCATAAATTTTGGAGATTCATAATTTGGCTCCGTAGCTGAGTATCTGCTTGGCATACATCTTAAACCAAAACATTCACCTATTTTATATCCCTGATGCTGACCTGGCGTATCATTTTTTATTATACAGTACAAAGTGTTTAATCCAGACTTCCATAATCCGGAATGATCTATAATCTGAACCTCAAAGCAACAAATTTTCTGCGCATGCGTAAATGCATCATATGCGTTATATGCACGCACATAATACCTTTACACATGCGCGTAATACGTTTATGCATGCGCTTTTAATGTGTAACGGACGGTATAAGCTAAGCTAAAATTATCTAATTATCTATTTCAGTTAATGTTTCAGATTGCATTGTTCCTTAATCTTCTAATTGGATCCGGCTTATTATTTTTTGCAGACTGTTAGAGCAATTTTATAAAAGTAAGCTTGAACTTTCAATTATGTCAAAAGGAATTTCCGATTCTGGAGCTGCCAAAGGATCTACAAAGTGAAAGCATGTTTTGATGTCCATCAAACAAAAAGTGGAATTGGTGCAAAAAAAATGGATAAAGGCATATCCTTTGTTTCTCTAACCATTCCGAAATCTGTTTATCAATTTCACGCTGCTCTGGGGGGGAAGGGGAGGAACGGCACGGCGCGCAATGAACTGGAGTTGACCTGTCAGCACTATCCTCATCTTCAGAGCAGATGTTTTCATTTTATTCAGCTTATAATTCCTTACTAAATGTACTCCATCTTTGATGTGATTTAAATCAAATTCCTCATTATTATAAATATCACGAATACACATGCAATAGTTTTCTGGTTGCAATTTTTTAATTTCGACTATGCGTAATGTATGCTTTATGCTTGCGTACGTTGAAAGAAATGGTTAATAAAATAAACAAATAAATATTAAGTTTTTTTTTTTGTAAATTTTGATACCCTTTAGATCATAATTGCTCTTTATTTCATAAGTTACGGTTTCATATTTTTAATTTTATAATTTCTGCATGCCATCTTACCAGATTTAAATTGATGATCTATAATCCGGAAGAACCCATAATCCTGAATCTCTGAAGGCCCGACGAGTCCGAATTAAAGACTTTGTACTGTATTTTGTTTTCACCACCACATGTTTATCAATACAGGACAGCTTCAGTAATAACTCATGCAGCGAAGCCTAAACTTTTTTTTTTTTTTTTTTTATGTTAGTAATTGAATAACAAGAGTATGGCAACCTTTTATGCTAACATTATGCTTGACGATGATTATAGGTTTTTAAATGCTCTAAGACGAGGTAAAATTCAACAAAAATTTCTTTTCATATGCTAAAAAAAGATTTTGTTAATGAAACTCATAGGCCAAAAGATTATATTTAGTGCTATTTTAATTAACAATAACTTATATGTTATTCATCGTAAACCCAGTAGTCGCGGCAGAATATGTCGACACCGGACGGCAGAATTTAGGGAAGACGAAAATTTTGGAATTTGGGAAAGCACCGAGGGGAAAAATTAAGGGACGAGAAGTTATATATGATTTAGGGAAAGAACTGAGATGCAAAGTTTAGGTGCGGTGAAAATTTAGAACTTAGGAAGGCGCTTTATAGCAGAATTTAGGACCCGTAGAAACTGTACCAATCGGTATTTACCGCAGGCCCTAGATAAAGCATTAAGTATATATGAGAGTTTATTTATTAAGGACTGGCATTAGTTTTAAGCATGTGCAAGAAATAAATATAGATATAGTAAATAACTAAACTAATACAATGCAGGCTTGATTCAGTACGTAATAGGAGTAAGACAAAATTTAGCAAAATAACTTGGTTTTTGTCGCGAATATTGTGATACACAGCTATTAATGTATAAAGGATGCTATTAAGCTAGGCTGAAATTATCTTTACTGATTCTAAGGCATTTCAGTTAATGTAGCGGACTGCGCTGCTCCCTAAACATCTAGTTTGATCCAGCTTATTATATTTTGCAGACTGTTATTATTACGGCAATTTTATAAAAACTAAGCGTGCACTTTCGATTATGTCGAAAAGAGTTTCCAGTTCTAGAGCTGCCAAAGGATCTACAAAGCGAAACCATGTTTCGATGTCCATTAAACAAAAAGTGGAATTGCTGCAAAAAATGGATAAAGGCGTATCCATCTCAAAATTATGGGAGGAGTATGGCATTAGAAAGTCAACTGTATATGACATAACAAAAAGGAACTTTTGGAATTTTTTTTAAAACAACTTACATTGAAAGAAATGTTTAATAAAGTAAACAAATAAATATTAAGGTTTTTTTTTTTTTTTTTTTTTTTTTTTTTTTTTTTTTTTTTTTTTTTTTTTTTTTTTTTTTTTTTTTTTTTTTTTTTTTTTTTTTTTTTTTTTTTTTTTTTTTTTTGTAAATTTTGATACCTTTTAGATTATAATTGTTCTTTATTTCATAAATTACGATTTTATATTTTTAATTTTATAATTTCTGCATGCCATCTTACCAAATTTAAAATCCAGAAAAATTCCAAATCTAGAACCACCGAAGTCCCAACAAGTTCGGATATCGGACTTTGTACTATATAGATATTTCAGAGGTCTGGAATAAATTTATCAACGGGTATGATAACTGCAGAAAATTGATTGCTAAGAGATGTTGTCAAGGTTGACAAAAGTAAGAGTTTTGTATGTGATGTCATTGTTGATTAACAGAAGGATTTCATGTGTGGAAAGAATGTGGCAAATGGCAGAGATACATGTAGGCAGATCAATGAAAAATGTTGGAAATTGACATTTGTAGTAATAGGAGAAGGGAGTAAAAGAACCTATTCCACAAATATTAATATTTTCAGTTGCATAATAAGATTTATACAGTCAAAAGTCTTTAATCTGGACTCGTCGGGACTTTAGCGATTCTGAATTATAGATCATCAGTTTAAATCTGGTAAGATGGCATGCAAAAATTTAAAATTAAAAAATAACCTGAAACCTTTTAATTTTATGAATAAAGAGCAATTATGATCTAAAGAGTATCAAAATTTACAAAAAAAAAAAAAAAAAAAAAAAAAAAAAAGCTTAATATTTATTATTTGTTTACTTTATTAAACATTTCTTTCAACGCGCGCATGCATAGGGCATACATTACGCATAGTCGAAATTAGAAAATTGCAACCAAAAAACTATTGGATGTGTATTCATGATATTTAAAATGACGAGGAATTTGATTTAAAACACATCAAAGACGGAGTACATTTAGTAAGGAATTAGAAGCTGAATAAAATAAAAACATCTGCCCCGAAGATGAGGATAGTGCTGACAGGTCAACTCCAGTTCATTGCGCGCCGCGACATTCCCCCCTTCCCCTGCAGAGCAGCGTGAAATTGATAAACAGATTTCGGAATGGTTAGAGAAACAAAGGATATGCCTTTATCCATTTTTTACAGCGATTCCACTTTTTTTTTGATGGACATTGAAACATGCTTTCGCTTTGTAGATCCTTTTGGTAGCTCCAGGAATCGGAAATTCCTTTTGACATAATTGAAAGTTCAAGCTTACTTTTATAAAATTGCTCTAACAGTCTGCAAAAAATAATAAGCTGGATCCAATTAGAAGATTAAGAACAACGCAATCTGAAACAGTAACTGAAATAGATAATTTTAGCTTAGCTTATACCATCCGCTATACATTGAATGCGTAAACCTATTTATTCGCATGTGTCAATGTATTTATTCGCATGTGTAAATGCATTATGCGCATGCGTAAATGCCTACGTGCATGAGTAAATGCATTAATGTGTTTACGCATGCGCAGAAAGTTTGTAGCTTTGAGGTCCAGATTATAGATCATTCCAGATTATTGACGTCCGGATTAAAGACTTTTGACTGTATATGCAATTTTATTACTAAAACTTAATTTTTACTTTAAAAAAAATTTGCAGATGTTTTTTTATTTAAAAATTTCCTTAAATGGGGGAGGGGGAATGGCTGCTCTTAGTATCTTATGCTATGATTTTTAAAAGTGGTACTTAATTAAAAGGCTGTAATTGTGATGAATGAAAAGTATTAAACAAATATTTATGTAGTCTTCATGCTTATTCTTTTTATTGGGCTCTGAGAATCTATCTCTGAATTTATTGAATATATTTTTTTCTTCTTATAGGATTGGATTGTTATTTGCTGTTAATCCTAATGCTTCTGTTGATGGTTTTCATGATGCTGGTGTTGCTTTCTTGAATGCATATAATTTTATAAGTCAAGATAAATCACCATATGATGGATTATCTTTCATAACTGATGTATGCCTTAACTAATTTTTTGTCAATTTCTTATCATAGAATCTTCAGTTTCTCTAAAAATTTGAGAATAGGATAATTTGTTATTGAAATGCATATAATAATAAAAATGCTAGAAATACCATTGCTTTGAATACCAGTGTCATTTAAATTATTTTGTAAATTTTGAAAACTAAGTCTATGATCTCTAATTTTTAAATTTTTTAAATTTTTGAAAATTGAAAAAAAATTTAAATCTTTGAAATGATTTAAAATATTGTACCATTTCATAATGTAATGTTTCCAATGTCCATTATAATAGTTTTAACTAAAATTTTAGTCTTAAGATCTTAAATATGTATATGAGTAATATGCACATACACATAATACAAACACACATGTACTTAAGATCATACACACTGATATATATGTATCGGTGTGTATGATCATGTATGTAGGGTTTACTTTCAAAAAACATGGTAGAGCACTACTTATGCATTATTGAATGCTTTATTTTACTAATAAGAAATAAATAAAGTAATAAAAAGGTAAATTAAGTAAAAATTAATATTGCAGGTGATCTCACAATAATTATACTCAATCCAAACAGTTCTACATGATTAATGTAATGACGATGATGACTAACACACAGTCCTCAATAAATACATTCATGGGCTCATCTGCCCTTTTATATGGCTAACTATAGACAATAGACAAACATCGTCTGCTTGTAACACAAGGAAATTGAGCCTCCAAGGAAACCGTCTGTTTCCCACCAAGTCTTGTAGTTGTCTGCTGCTTTGCAAGCTGCATTATGTCACGGCTTTGCTAAGTTGAAGTAAATGGACTGGAAGAATCTACCTTTACATCCGGTCATTCTGCAGCGTATCCTCCTCAATGTCTGTTGAGTGGACATCACCATCATCATGAGGTACCTGCGAAGAGAATTAAAAGAAAGAGAGAAAAGAGTAACAGGTCCATACATTTGAGCTGATACAATCATCAATCAATTTGACCATGGCTTCATCTAGTCAGCCGTAGTAGATGTCATATTTGGTCCTTCATGGCATTCCTACTTTTTCGACTTCATATCTGTCATTTGATCTTAACAGCTATGACATTTATACGGTCCATGAAACTTAGGTCGTAGTTTCAAACCAGTCCCATATTGAGTTCTCTGAATGGCTACCAAGTCGCCAATCTTGTACAGTTTCGGTTTCTTACGTTTTTGTTAAATTGTTATTCGATTCTCTTCTTGTAACTTCAAAATGTTGTTTTTCGCATCTTCTCTCATTTCATCACGTTCTTGCATCAATTGCTTTAGATATTCTTCATTCAATATCTTACTAATTCTCAGAATCTTCTTGTTCTTCATTTTCGTGCCTATGAGAAGCTTCAAACGGTGAATATTTCGTACTTCTCGTAGTTGTACTGTTGATTATCCTCTGGACATCTGGAACATACTTTAAACCATTTCGTTGAATCTTCATGTGATAATTTTGACAAAACAGGAATCAAAATTCTATGGATTCGCTCAATCTGTCCGTTACCTCTTGGAATACCGGTAGTAATTTTGACATGTTCTATTCCTTCTTCAGTACAATAAGCTGAAAATTCTTTCGATGTAAAGGCACTACCTCGATCTGAAATGATTCTGGCTGGATTTCCAAATACAGTCTGTTGTTGCTTCAATTTTGAAATAACTTCTTGCGTAGTTGGTGATTTCACTGGATAGAACCAAGTAAATTTCGTAAAAGCGTCGACAACAGTTAAGAATGTGTTGGTATCTCTTGTTCGTCGATGGAAGAGGTCCAATAAAGTCGATATGATACGTACTCAAGGGAACGTTTTCTTTCGGTACAGGATGAAGAAATCCTTCTGCTTTTCCTTGCTTCTTGTTGTACAGTATACATTCTATACAGTTAGCAATTACCTTTTTCAACTTTGCATTTCAGTCTGGGAATATAGAATTCTTGCTCTACAGCATTCACACAGCAAAGTGACCTTTTTATGTACCTTCTGTATGATTTCGTTCTGTAAGGATTCTGGCACTACTAGCAAGATCTTTACCATTTTCAAATTTGTACAAAATATCATTTCTCAGGAAGAATCCATTTTCTTCTCCTTTCTCAACTAAATTCTTGATCAATTTCACATGTTCATCTTCATTCTGTTGTTGTGCTAACCGAATCTTCTCAGTTACATCGGATGTGTATGATGTTAAAATTAAAGCATTTCTACTTAAAGCATTAGCATGTTTCATTTGGCTTCCTGAACGATCTACAATTTTGTAATTGAATTCTTCAATAAACATTGCCCATCTTGCAATCTTAGGAGTTTAATCTTTCTTATCTAAAGTTTTCTGAGAAGCACTACAATCAGTTACAATTTTGAATTTAGTCCCTAACAAATAGTTTCGAAATTTCTTCAAGAGCTTCTATTACTGCAAGGGCTTCTAATTCGTAACTACAGAGTTTCTCTTGCTGCGGTGAAGTCTTCTTACTCATATACTGGATTGGGTGATAATTACCATCATCAGACAATTGGAGTAATACCGCACCAAAGCCTTGACTACTAGCATCAGTATGAAGTTCTAATGGATATCCTTGCCTAAATATGTGTAGAACAGGTGCTGAGAGAGAATTTCTTTTAATCTGCAAAAAGCTTCCTGTTGTTCGGAATCGAACTTAAAACCAATACCTTTTCTAAGTAAGTCACTAAGAGGTTTAGCTATTTTAGCATAATGAGGAATGAATTTACGAAAATATCCTGTTAGTCCTAAAAAGCTTTGTAGTTGTTTACAGTTACGCGGTTGTGGAAAGTTTTGAACAGCAACAGTTTTGGAAGGTGATGGTCGAATAGTTCCGTTTTCAATTACATGTCCCAAAAATTCAATTTTACGTTTTAAGAATTGGCACTTTTTGAAATTTATTTGTAATTTGTATTCCGAAGCAGTTTTGAATACTCTTTCTAATTTGTCTAAACATTCAACTTCATCATTAGCCGGTATGACTATATCATCCATATAAATAATTAGTACACCTTCATTTAGCAAGTCACGAAATACTGAATAAATATACCTTTGAAAAACATTTGGACTAATACATAAACCAAAAGGAGCTTTAAGAAATTCGTAGATACCATTATGTGTTACAAATGCGGTATATTTGGTGCAATTTTCGTCTATGTCTACATGGAAAAAGCCATTTTTCAAATCTAGTGTCGTGAAGACCTTTGATTGTTCCAACCGATCAAGTATTCCTAGGAATTAAAGGCAGATAATCTTATTTAATTTCCAGTAATCAATTCATAATCTTTTTGAACCGTCTCTTTTGTTACACAAAACTATAGGCGCCAAATAATTAAAATTGCTAGGCTTTATTATACCCTCATTCAACCATTCTTTAATTTGCTCATCAACAATTTTTTTGTTCCATGAAAGACATGTATCGTCTATTTTGACAGACAGGGATTTCATTGCATAAATTTATCTGCATCTTGAAATCAGATTGCTTATTTTTCAGAGGCTGGTACGAATTAATTAATTTATACAGTCTTTCTCTATGTTCGACATTTGAAATATGTGATAAATCAATCTTTTTGACAGAAATAGCATTCACCAGATGTGAAAGGTAATTAAATTCCAAGCCACTTCCTCTTTCAGGATTATTGTTTACATTAACAGAGACGCTTCGCGATTTCGAAAGATCTTAAACATTTTTCAATGATACAGCAATATTCAAATTTCCCATAACACAATGAACATTATGAACTGACTCAGCAATTATCAAATTGACATTACTTTTATTCCGATGAGAAATTATTTGAAAGCCATTCTCGGTAAAGGGAAAGTTTAACTGATTCATCACATCTAAACCTAACACAAGTTGATTACATAATGACTTAACAACATAAATTTTCACACGAAGTGAAAAATCATCAATTAAAATATCAGAAATAAAAAAAGCCAATGGGATACGTTTGCTTTGATCCAACACCCATTAAAATGATATCGTTAGACTTTAAATTTGGAGAACCAATTTGCTTATGTAACTCTACACTGCATATTGTAACATCTGAACCAGTGTCAACTAGATTATCAACTAAATATTATTTATTTTTACAGTCTTCATAATTCTACTATTATTCGAAGTTTGCTGCACTAAAGATACTTGCTTCTCGGGATTCTGGTTTTGACATTCAGTCAATTTATGCCCAAACTTTTTACATTTATATTATATATATATTATATATATACTAGAAGCCAGGTGGTCATACGAAATGACCACTGTTTTAGATATTATAAATTGTAATTAAAAGGATTTGTGCAAAGGTGTCTGCTAATTTAAACTGAATTACCCAGGGCAGGCAGCGAGGACGCCCCTTTGCTTACTGCCCCACGGGATTTCCCCATTTGCTTAATTGCTTAAAGTAGAGGGCAATGAAGGAAACCACTGGCGGTACATTTCTTAAGAGCCACCGCTAGCTCAATAAATAAAGGCGATTTAAATAATAAAATGCTAATTCACACGTCAAAGATCTCTTTGTACACAACACTTCTTGTGTAGATCTTTCAATCATTTTTAAGCTCGGCTTGAAGAGGACCATCCATTCTTTCACGAACTCTTGAACAGGCAACATAAAGTTGACCGAGTCCAAATGCAGGCTCAGGTAAAAAAATGTCAACACACTTAAGCATTTGGACCTGAGACTTATTGATGGTCATAGCAAATAATAAAATTATAACGAATAAACGATGCAATTACCATTTTCATATAAGAACCATTCAAGGTTCAAATTTTAAGCAATTGAATGGTTGAAAAATTCCAATTTGAAGCTCATCCGACCACTAGTGATGAGTCGGTACTACCGAACCGGGTATTTTGTAACGGGTACTGAAACATCCAAGTACCCGTTACTTCAGTACCGAAATCGGTACTTTTCGGTATTCGTTACTTCTGTACCGAAACGGGTACTTTTCGGTATTCGTTACTTCTGTACCGAAACGGGTACTTTTCGGTATTCGTTACTTCTGTACCGAAACGGGTGCTTTTCGGTATTCGCTACTTTGTAACGAAAATATGCGTCTCTTCTCGGTATTCGTTACTGGAGGATCGATGAGGGTTCAGCTCACTTCGGTTTTGGTACGAGGACAGTAGTATCTGGTTGTATTTGCGAAATGGTGATATGCGCTCCTTGTGTCCATGAATGACCTTGAAATAGGGCATGGAATGGCAAACGTGAAAGGGGGGAACTTCCGTTCCGTTCCGTTCGTCACGGAGACTAGAGTTTGAGGTAGTATAATTAATTGCCTTTGTGTGCGCGGGAGGACGAGTGTGAAATAGTGGAAATTTTTCGAAAGGCCGTTCGTTGTGTGTGTGTGGGGGGGGAATAGTAGCAGTTGGAGTCACTGTCGCCGGCATTGCTCGCTTGTGATTGGAGTCGGTATAGTCAGGAGGGAAAGGGAGGGGAGCGCTAGATGATTTGCAATCCGAATTGTGCATGTTTTAATTTTTCATCGTTTGTAGGAGAAAAACTGCGTGGATCTGAAATGATTGATTTGGTAAGTTGCTGTTGTTGGATTGGTGAATGGAATCAACTACCAACTAGATTACTTCCTTTTCCTCAACATATTTTTAGCATAAATCATGAAAAATATTTTTCGTTTGCTTGCTTAATAGGGCAACGTAAATCATATGATCCTTTTTAAATAAATCCTTTTTTTGCTGTACCTACTTCAGAAAATGACACAGCATCTAGTGGATCACTAAGCCAATCAACATAAAATACAGACGCAATTTTAAACTTTTCTAATGAAAGAACAAAGATAACTGACCCACTTATGATAATTCTTCCCCCTTCTAAAAACAGATTTTCATCTCGCCAAAAACTAAACCCAGGTCACGTGTCTAACGCAGGATTGTCAGCGCCTACTTTACCCACCCAGGACGTGACGAGGCTCCTCCGATAGGAAGAGAGGTGAACTTTGACCTGGCAGTCCGAATCTTCTTCTTTTTTTTACTCCCTCTGGAGCTTATTTGAGGGGGGGGAAAACTATCGAATGGAACACCGGAAATTATCCGGACATGTTTATGTAAACATACATGTCCCTCCCTTTTTTCCTTTGCATTTTTTGCTCTTTCATGCCTGATTAATAGAATCATTAGGCGATATTGCACTTACCCTTTTCACAGCGTAGTGCTGATTTTAGAATTTGCAGCTGGAGTGAACAGCGGAAGTCGTTAATAGAATTTTTTTATGCTTATCTGACGATGCTGATGACCATCTCCCAACTTCGTCACTTTTCCCATAAGATTCATTCTTGTCTCGTACTGGTGAGTATCGGTACGTTATAGAATTGCTTAGTCTCTATCAGTTTCTTACGCCTCAGAAAAAAAAAAATCGAATTACAAAATGTCTAGTAAGAAAAGGAAATTCAGCTTGGTTTGGCAGCACTTTTCCTATACTAATGAAGACGAAAAAGTTATGTGTGACATTTGTAAAGACCTTTTATCCATCAAAGGTGGTTCAACAGGAAATTTAAAAAAACATTTGCAAAGGAAGCATCCTTGTGTAAATCTGCACGAGAAACGCGCTTTGCCGAATCAAGATGTTGATGATATTGATGCCGCTCCAGCCCGTTCTGTCGTCACTAGCCCTGCAGATGGTGGGCAACCATGCACATCCCAGCAGACTACACAACTTACGGTAGACAACAGTGCTTGTGATATTGTTGGTGTATTTTCACAAAAATCCCAGTCCAGCATAATGCAGTTTGTCCAGAGAAATACGATGGATGTACATAAAAAAAAAGTAATCGATCGCGCACTGATCAAAATGGTATATAAGGATTTACAACCAATAAGTATCGTAGAAAATGAGGGATTCCGAGAATACTCAAAGGCTTTGAATCCAACCTATTCCTTACCTTCACGGAAAACGGTTTCTAAATCCTTGCTTCCTGCTGCTTATGAAGAAAAAAAGAATAGTTTAAAAAACGTTCTTAGTGCTGTACAAAATATCTGTTTGACTGTAGACTGTTGGAGCAACCAAAAGGCTGAAAGTTACATGGCCGTGACAGGCCATTTTATTGACGAACACATGCAAAGGAAAACGGTACTGATTGACTGCTCAATTTTTGATGAACGTCATTCAGCCAAAAATATTGCAGAAAATATCATACACATTTGCCAACCATATTTTCCGATGGAAAAAGTGTCTTTAATAGTGACTGACAATGCCAAAAATATGATTAACGCTGTCGACAGCGAACTAAAGTTAAAACATTTAGGATGCATTGCACACTCTCTCAATTTGGCTGTCACAAATTCTCTAAACGAGGTTAACGACCTTCTAACGAAAATTAGGGATATTGTGATAGTTTACAGGAGAAGTAATATATCGCTGCAAAAAATTTGCGAAAATATCTGTGCTCTAGCGAGGAGAGAAAAGACTTAAAAGTCATCTTAGATGTGAAGACTCGTTGGAACAGCACGTTTTATATGGTAAAACGTTTCCTTGAACTGAAAGACGCTATTCGTTCTACAATGGGTTTGATGAACGACCCCCCCAGAGGCTCTTGATGTGCCAGAATGGGAAAGTGTCCAACATCTTTGTGACGTTTTGAAACCTTTTGAAAAGGTGACTTGCGAGTTGAGTTCGGAAAAATACTTGTCAGCATCTATGGCGCCTGTGTTAATCGGCGGACTTCAAAAAATCTGTGAAAATCTGCTTAGTAAAAGTGTTAATGAACAAGTACAAAATGTGGTACTAGTACTACAACGTGAATTGGGTAATAGATTTACAACTATCGATTCAAGAGAAGACATTGCTCAAGCCGCTTTCCTTGACCCCCGAATAAAAAAAATTGGGGCTCAAATGTGATGTCGCCAAAAAAAATTGAAAGTGATATTATCTGTGAGTTATCGGTAGTTGCACAAACTACCCATAATCTTGTTGAGGATGTGGAAGGGATGATGAAGAGATAGATGAATCATCGGTTTGGTTCAAGTTTGAGAGTAAAGTTAAAGACTCTCGAACTTCATCAGCTCCCGCAGCAGAAGTGAAAAGATACCTGCAAGAGCCCATTCTTTCCAGAAATCTGATCCACTGGAGTGGTGGGAAAAGAATAAAAATGTATTTCCTAATTTGTATGAATTATCATGGAAAAAATTAGGCCTTGTGGCTACTTCAGTGCCATGCGAAAGAGTGTTCTCTAAAGCTGGATTAATACTGAATGATCGGCGAAACTGTTTGAGTGGACAAAAGTTGAAACAACTAATTTTCTTACATTACAATTATAATATTTAATCATTTCTTGACCTTCTTAAAATTCCAACCTAAGTTCAGCTTTCTGGGAGTCAATTTTTTTATGCTTAATTTTTCGTTACATATTTTAAGTGGTCTTTATAAAAAGAAATAGAAGGAATTAAATGCCTAAAATTTCCATACTTTTATAACGTTTTGCACAGCCTATCAAAGTTTTATTTGTTTTAATTAAATGAAATATTACTTCATTCAAATGTCAATTTCTTAAAAAAAATATTATTTTGAAATTGTATTTAGATCATTAATATAATATAAAGTTCTACAGTTCTATTATTTACTTAGCTGTACTCACATATGTTAAGTTCTCATATAGTTGAAAGCATGCTATCTTATTTTCTAGTGTTTAAATCATCTTTAATTTAAATTTTTATATCGAATGTACTTATTGAATTCATATAATGCGATTTTACAAATATTTTTGTTGCTTTTTGCTGTTACAGCATCCAGATATTACGTTCTCGTAGTTTTAAAGACATGCTGCCTTATTTCCTAGTGTTTTTAATAATCTTTCACTCAAAATTCTTATGTCGAATGCGCTTTGGCTGTAATTTGAGTTTTAAAAATATTTTTTACCATTCTGTTGCATTTTTGTGTTTACAGCAGTTACTGCATCCAGGTATTGCGCTCTCACAGTTTTAAACCCTTTGCTATCTTATTTTCTAGTGTTTTTTGATAATCTTCAATTCAAAATTGTTATATTGAATGTGCCTTTTAAAATCATATTGTGCGTTTTTAAAAATATTTTTAACCATTTTGCTGAAATTTACTTATTACTGTAGTACATCCAAATATATTACATTATCTCACTTTTCAAAACATACCTCATTTTCTAGTGCTTTTGGTAATTCAAAATGTTTAAATCAAATATATATGTTTATGCATTTTTTAAAATCATATTTTTTGTTTTTAAAAATATTTCTAATCATTTTGTTGTTTATTGTACGGTGCCAAATCTCCAAAAGTACAAATTTAACTCAAAATAAACCTAAATGTAATTTAAAAAGGAACAGTATAAACTTTTTTGTGGAAAAGCTCTTCAACCATGTGTATATGAATAAATGTGTAAATTTTATTTTATGCCAGTATTGTACAATTAAACACACAAGGTCATTTATGTTATATTTAATGTTTAAATTATCTTACTTTTTTATTCAGAATTTTTAATATATATAGGGGAGAGTAGAGAATAAGAGATTTATCTTTTTTAAAATTTGGTAGCTTGAATAAGTTTTATTTCGCAGTGGTACTGAAGGTCATTATCTTATCTATAAGTGGGATAAAGGTTTGTGATTATTTTAATGTCTAGACCCTACGCACCCCTATGCCCTTTACTACCGAATTGTCAGTATTAAACGACTTCTGTGGTATGTTATTTATCCGTATAAATAAAAAATATCATGTTAAAACAGATTGATCATTAAATTTCTGATATTTACTTAGGAAACTGCATCCTATCGGGTTGCTACACAGCTAGTTATAGTTAATTTTCTATTTTAAATTTATTGCAACATTTTTACTCATAGTATAAAGTTGCATCAAAATTTCTATTTTCCGATTTTTTTTCCCTTTGTTTTCCTCCAACAACACAACACAACACAGCTGAAAAAACATAGTGTACTCTCCCTTCCTTCAATATCATACAAAGAAAATCTTCCGACGTTTTTCAATGCTCATTTGGGGCTGTCCATAAATGATGTCACACTTACATTTTGGACACCCCTCCCCCCTCTTTGTCACAAAGTGTCACACTTCAACATACCCCCCTCCCCCTTTGTCACATGTCACACAATATTACGTAAACTTATACTTGCAGTTCAAAAAACGTAGCACTACGTTATAGTTATAGATCATATTTCAGACTTTATTTTTAAATTTAAACTATATGTTTTAATGACATCTGTAAATATAACAATAATAATGATTCGTGCACTTATTTTGTATGAAATAAGAGAAAAGTTTACAGCAAAAACATAATTAATACACAATAGCAATAAAATTACAATTTCTGCCGCTACCCTATTCTCAAAACCTACTCTGAATGCCTTTTTTTTTTGGAAAGAAAGGAATGTAAGTAAAAAAAAAAAAAAAAAAAAAAAATCACATGAAAGTTGCTTTCGCCCCAATTAAGGAAATACCTTCAAATTTTGGTAATTTTAAAATAACTTCAAAATTCAATCTGCTGATTTTAAACATTTTAATTTTAATCAAAATATGATACCTCCCATCTTGTCACAAACTGTCACAATTTCACTAACCCCCCTCCAAGCGTGACACCATTTATGGACGACCTCTTTCACGAAACTGATAGAGCACCCATCGATTTTGCTGCACCTGCACACAAGACACAACCGAAAGCGAAAATTTTTCCATCCATCCACTTCCCGCGCCAATCCTCCCAACCCCCACTGGCCATCAAAGACAATCTACACAAACCCAACACCAGAAACAACCCGCCGCGCTCTCCTGCTCCTCAGACACTTCCGTAGTTGACATGTTTTCTGATATTCAAAATCTTACTCCGTACAGATAAAATCAAACACGTGGTGACGTGGCAGAGTTCCTTCAGTGCGCAAAATCGCTAGCTGCGTATTTCGGTACTCCAAATCGTTACTAGGGCACTTCGGTACTCCAAATCGTTACTAGGGCACTTCGGTACTCCAAATCGTTACTAGGGTACTCCGGTACAGCAAACCGTTACTAGGGTACTCGGTACAGCAAACCGTTACTCCGGTATTTCGTTACTTCGGTACTCCAAATCGTTACTTGGGTACTCGGTACTTGAAATCGGTTTTCGGTACTTTTCAAAGTAACGGTTACTTGAGTAACGGGTATTTTGTACCGGGTACTTGTCTGTACCCGTTACTCTCGTACCGGGTACAAGAAAGTACCGAAGTTGCCTACGGGGGGGGGAGGAAACCTTATCTGGCGAGAACTGTTTGAAATTCTAAATAGTATTTTAAAATTTGGCATTGCGTTACTGAATTATGGTATAAGTGCAAGACTATATTATGAGATAACACAAGAACTAAAAAACCCCTTGATCATTTAATTGAACTTGATTATTAATTTATTTATTATTATTTTTTAAAGTTTTTAACAGAATAGTCTAAATTATCAACTGCAATTACAGTTGGAAAACCCATGTCTAGTTTTTTAACTTAATCTAACTCTTGAATTATGAGAGTTATTTTTTAAGTAAGATCCATTTTGCAATAAAAGCAAAAATTAATGGGATTTCGGATTCCCTCTGCATAGAATTTACCATCTATGATGAAAGCCAGTTATTCACGTATTTCTTCATTTCTCTATGCTATTAGTTCATATCTCCTTTTTTGCATGAATAAGAGTCTCAACTCTTTTTACAAATCATTAACTATTTCAGATAGTTGACCAGAATGTAATTTTTCTTGGATGTTTTCCACCCTTCCTTGAACAATCTCACTCATTTCCATACTTTACTGTGATTTCACATTATCTGGCAATGAATATCGGTAGCTTTCATGTTACTTGCTCCTAAATGCAGGACGACTGACTGTATTTTGTAGTCAGTGGAGAACTCAATTTTCTTAGAATGCCAAAATCACACAAAAGGAAGCAGAGGTTGGGATATGCAAATGATTAGTATTTCAGACCATTTTAAACAATGCAGGAGGGAGAAACGACATCTGAAGATCTGCATAAAAGAAAAGTTGTGTAGTGGATTTTGGACACAAAGGACTTTGTAAGGTCAGAGTTTGCTCAGAATATCATGTTATGTCTCAAATAATAATAAGAAATGCTTATCAGCAAGTGTTGGAATGCAATAGAGGCAGGATCATTGCCTAATGGAGAGTGTAGATTATTATTCTGTGATATCACCTGTCGCATTGGTCAACATTCAATCACTGTCATGTGGATATGGAATCAATAGGTTGCTGAGGGTTATACTGAATGGCATGGCTCTTACTGAATGATCTCAACACACTCCTATGACTAACGTCAACAGGACACATTGTGAGGTCAGCCCTGCAAAACCATACAACCACATCACGGACCATTAGTCAGAAAATGGGTATGTTTGCCCTAAACCTAGAATCCGCTCATACAGTGTGTTGACATTTGCAGCTGCATGGACTATCAATACAAGGACCATTACTTCGACTTCCTTGGCAATGCAGCATAGAGAGAGATGACGACTCTGGTGCACATAACGACAAAGCTGGATACAGGAGTGACACAACGTAGTCTTTTCAAATGAGTCCTGGTTCTTTGTACAGTATCCTGATGGGCGTATATGTGTCTGGAGGCTCCAAGGAGACCATACGTTGCCTGCTTGCAGTCGATATCAGCATAGGGGCCATGCATCTGGTGTATAGTTTGGGCAGCCATTGGGTGCACAACACGTGTATCTCTAGTTCGGATCGACGGTAATTTGAATGCAGATCGGTACATTTCCGACATTCAGTGGTTGTGCCCTATCTTCGAGGCCAGCCAAATGCCATTTTCCTACAAGGTAATGCAAGACCACATGTTGCACATCGTGTTCTGACCTTCCTTGATAGACAGGGTTACAAATGAGAGGAATACGACCCGATCCACCTGGTCTAAAAATAAAAATAGACCTTACAATCTTGTTTGGGTTTGATTGATGCCCTGGCCAGCACTGTCTCCAGATTTGTCACCCATTGAAAACATCTGGTCATGGGTTGCTATCAGACTGGCATGCCACTCTTCTCCAGCTAATAAGGTTGAAGTGTGGCATAGACTTGAAGCAGCATGGAATGAGTTGCCAGTTTCTGTCATCCAAGCCCAATTTTTCTCCATGCCTAACCGGGTAAGGGCCATTTTAGCTGCCAGGGATAACAGCTGTTTCTACTAATTTCACACCCCTGTAAACCCCCAAACAGTTTACAAATTTAATAATTTTATCTTCATGCCATACTGCTTATGTACAATAAATTTCTTTTCTGTATTTGCTTTCCTTCATGGTGTTGCAATTTTAATGGCCAGAAGAGTATTTAAAATACTTTTAAGAACTGAAAAAATATAATTATTATTGAAAACTGTCAGGGAATATTCCTTAACCAGTTTAAAGAGGTAATCCATGATTTCATCAATACATTTACGAGCTGCAAAATACGGATTGTAATGGGTCCTCTTTTGAGTCCAATGTGAACCAAATCTAGGGTCCTCTTTTGAGTCCAATGTGAACCAAAAACTATATAAAGCAGATTTTTGAATAACTTATTAGACATGTCTGTCATATCTGAAACGAAAGCATTATTCAAAAATAAGACATCAAATTATTTTGAGGCTATAAAATAATTATACATCATAAAATTTGTGCAACAGTACTCTTTCATGTTAGTGTTCACATGCTTGAAGTTGCCATTAATGTACTTGGAGCAACAAGACATATTGAAGTTAAATGAAAGAGAATTTATAATTAAAGCTTAAGTCATGAGCCCAGTACCTGGTTAGTTAATGTTTTTTTCTCCTTGGTGTAGTTAATGTTTTTTTTTCCAATATTAAAAACACATTTTAGTTCAATACAAAAATATTACCTTACTTTAATAGCTACAAATGCTACTTGAAATAAAAATTCATTCACATTATCACAATTACGGCAATTCCTGATTATCTGCACCTCCAAAGAAAAATCACAAACTCATTAGCGACTTTAGAGAGAAGCATCTGTTAGGGTATCTATGCCTATTTCAATGGTTAGGATATCTATGCCTATTTCAATGATGCATCCAGTGCTGGCTGTTCTTTTACATTCTGCTTTTTCCATACAAGAGATGCACATTTCTCAGTGTTTTTGTACTGCTGTTCTCTTCATGCACATAATGATTTGTTTTCACTAAAAAATTCAGAGACCTTGGACTCCACATTGTGCACAACTTAGACACCAAGATCCTAAAATCAGAAGGGAAAAAAGAGGTGTATGATCCCATTAACACCTTAGTGTCACCCAAGTCCAGTATGGGGAATCCAACCTCACCGAATTGGGAATGCCCAAACTGACTTGAATCAATGTTTCTATTCCATGAAGCCAAAAATAAGTTTGTTTTCCTTTATCAAATGCAGTGCAATTTACTGTTTTGTCAACAGATGGCAATATTTGTTTCACATTTATTTAAAATTTGGGCAAGATCAGCTGTAAAGGCACTCTTCAAAAGTGAAACGGGAAAAAGAATTTTCCTTTTTCAACACATTATGCTGAAATATTTTCCACAAGTAAGTGAATTAAGTGAGCCATATTATGCCCTATGCATGTGGGGGGGGGGAATTAAGCCTGAGATTTTGCCAAAGATGATGAATACTGCAGTATGCTGACAACTGCTATGCTAAAACATAGAAATTCCCAAAAAGAGATATCATAATCTGTACTCATACTAGCAAAAATGTCCAAATTGGACAGCCATTTTGGAGATGCTACATGCATACCTGGGTTGTTATATAAACACTTTTTGGTAACATGATGCACTACCCTATCAATACTTTTTTAGGCTTTTTCACAACATAGCAGATAATCAGAAAGTACTAAATTATTAATGTTCAAAATTTGCATACTATTTCATACTATTAGAGAAAAATCATGATAGGATTCATGAGGCAAAGTAGTATATTGCCAAAACAGTTATGTGACAACTCAGGTAAGCACAAAGCACATGCCTGTTCTGGCAAGCACGTAATGCAAAAGTTGTATGGATGCTGAGTTGGTGCAATTTTTTTAAAAGTGAAAACAAATCACTACGTACATGTCGGGGAAAAAAAAAACACAAAGAATTTCTCAAAAAAGAATTCTTGCTTTTTAAAATTCATTCATCATGCTCTTGCATGGAATTCTCAATTTGCTGTCATTTAAAAAATGGCTGTCACCTTTCACACATGAGCTTGATTAAAAAAATTAAGCCACCAAGGCATTCACAAATGGTCTCCAAGGTCAGCAATGAGTTTGCAGCTTTTCGGTGAAGGTGCCGATAATCATAAAGTACCTATTATTTATTGAGTAAATATAATGCTTCATTAACAGTTTATTACTTGACAGTGTTGCGAATGTAAAACTTTTCTTTAAGTGGGTATATTTTCTGCATTCACATTTCTTTGTCTTCTACACTCGTGTTTTTCTGTTGAGCATTTATTAGTGTGAGCTATGAACACAGAGGACAAGCTTGATTATATTTGATTCATGATTTTAGTTAAGGAAAAATATTAGGCATTATGTCACAGATGTATTTCCAGAAGGTATCAGATAACTATCATTCCAAATAAGTAAATTAATAAAAAATAATACTTTAAATGCATCTAAACTGACATATACTCAGAAATCACTTAATCAAAGAATACTGGTTTTTAAAAACATAAATAAAATTTTTAAATCTTTACCTCAAAATGTTTGATTAAATTATACAGAGAATAACTGCATTCAAGTTCTTCAGTACACAGTAACAATGAGAGAGCATTTGGAGATCTATTATTCTGAACACTTTGAAATTTATTTGATGCTTCTGAGATCAGTCCATCTTTAGCAACAAAATGTATTAATTCCACCGCTTGACGCATCTGAAGAAACACAGCATCTCTATTTTCTCTACTAAATTCACAGTCTGGATGCCGAAAACATACCTATTAGTAAGTAATACAGTTTTTAACAGCAAGTAACATCACGAACGAAATACTAATTTATAAGAGCATTAATATTTAACATGTCTGTTATTCTTTATTTGTATAAAACTTACTGGCATCTGTTACCTTTGAAGAGGTAAGAAGCATCATTGTAGATCTTTCTAGGATTTGTCTCGCTACAGCCATCTGAGATCGCCTACGTTCATCTTTTAGGTCCTCCAAAAATAAAAAAGCCAAAGCACATATTCATGTATAAATAGGAAACTAAAGTATTTTAACATATGTGAATTATATACAAAAATACTGAACAATTTTGTAAATTTCTTATTAACACACACAACTTTTGGTTGTTTAATATTTCAAATTTTCCAGCACAATTGCAACAGCAAAGAAATGTGTTTAAAAATTAAATAACTGATAATATTATATCATACTTACATTTTGTCGATCACCAGTTAAATGAGCAAGTTCAACCATTTCAGTTCCAAATTGACTAAAAGCCTTCACAAATTCTGTAAAATTCTTTGCATTTTCTAAACGATTTAAACTCATGGATACCTAAAAAATATTTTTAACTGAAAATATTTTGAGAAAGACTTTTGCAACATTTTTTCATAGAAATACTATTAAGCTATAACTGATTATCAAATAAATACAAGAGTAGACACAGCAGCAAGGAACAACAAAGAATATTATCAGCTTTCATCAAATAAATTTAATGGATTAAAATTACTTAATAAGCAAATTACATGCATAATAATTAATTACATAACATATGCACAAAAAAGCAATACTCTGAAAATAAAAATCCATTGCTACAGTTTTACGTATTCTGATTCACTAGGTTATAAAAACATGAGACTTCTCAAGTTTTTAATACTATATATGAATATAAAAAATAACTTTATAGTCACATTTCAAATACAAAACACAGTATCTATAAATTACAGTTGATAATGAAAGTATTTTTACTACAGGAAATTAACTAATAAGGTACATTTTACACAGACTATGTGCCTTAATATGGATGCCTTTAAGTGAGGTATCGCATATAGGCAGCATGGATGAAAGTAGTTTAACAAGATTTCAATTACAAAAATTCAATGTCTAAAAGTAGAATTAAAAATAAGTGTTAAAGAATTTATCTGAGCAACAAACAGAATAAAAGAAGATATTAAATATGCCTAAAATTTATGATAAAAAATAAAATAAATATGAAAATTCTGAAACATTGCAAAAGTCATTAAATTTTGACGTCATGCTTGCAGGAAACTATAGGACTTGGTAGGAATGAAAAATGGCCAGCTATTTTTTCACGAAATCATCATTCTCATTCACAGATATGAAAGATAAATAATTACATGAAGCAAGCGAAAATGGTGGTACCAAATGGGCTTGGAAGAAAAATTACCAGATGTCTTGCAGCCTCCATTCACGCGTTCAAAGTTAACACTTCGAGGGAAAGGGAGGGGATAAAGAAAGTGAGTGAAGTTCAAACTGGTCTAGTCTCTTTAGGTAACATCTATTGCCACTGTCGAAATGGAATTTGGAGTGAAAAATGTGAGGACTTGCCATCACCATAAGCATTAACTTTTCTTATACCAGATTTTCAATTATTTTATATTCTTATCTCTTCTTTTCAGTTTCAGCTTATTATAAACTGACTGTAGTATTCTTGAGTTTTATTGAATGACAATTTGTAGATACCTCAAAGCATAAAAACTAGCAAAAGAGAACAAAAAAAGTATGCAAATTATCATTAAGATTACCTATATAAGAAAAAACAAGTATTTCAAAGATGAAATTTAAGGTAAGAAAATTGGTTACTTGACTAAAAGAATAGAAATCATTTGACAGAAGTTGGTTGAAAAAAAAAAGACTGGCTACAATTTATCGTACTCTGGTAGTTTTTTTTTTTTTTTTTAATTGCATTAATGAGATTATTTCGCATGACATGCATTTCTACTTTTTTTATTTCAAGATAATGTGAAATCGTAAATTCTTTAACTAGAGTAAAAGTGGTTTTCTTAATTTATATTTCATATTTTCAGAAATTAAACTTAACTCTCCCTCAACTGTCACACCTGACTTACTAACATGAATCAAGCTACAAAAAGATTTACAAGTTTCAAGCTTTAAGTAGTAAATCAAAACCAGAGGTATGCGTGAAAATTGTTTTGCAGTTATTCTGAATCCAGTGTTAATTCGAAAGCACTGAAATCCATGCCTTTATTTCTTTATTTACTTCTTCAGTAAGATATGTTTCATCATTCCAAAAGTACGATATGTATTCCATAGCAACTTTAATTATATATATATATATATATTTTCAGGTTTAGTAGAAAGTGGACTTTAAAAGACAAGCTAGAGACTTGTGCATCAAGAGATATGCCTATTTGAAAGCTCAACTACCTAAAAAAAAAATTATGCAAAAAGTAACACTTCCGCATTTAATGAAAGAGTATTGTTTAAATTAAGAAACATGATTACATGTTAATTTGCCATAAAGAGGGAGATACCTTCACACAATTAATAATATCTTATATTATTGCAATAAAAATTCCTCTGCCTTTAGTTTAAGAACAATTGTCACAAGCATAATTTCTAAAAGCAATTAAAAATAATGCCAGACAAATGCTAAAATAATATTAATTGCTGCAATTTAGATTAATAAAAACTCTTACCAAGCTTTGCTCAGGATTTTAAAACAAATGAGATACTGAAATAAATAAAAAAATATATATGAAAAAAAAGAAAAGCATTTACTCTGTCTTTAGCCATAAGAAGTTGCTTTACTACAACCGTATCAGCCAGCAGAAGGACTCTAGTCACTGAAGACAATAATGATCTAGCAGCTCTGACCATGTTAGTTTTATCAGCATATGACCTCAGTTGACCACATTCATCATGCTGAACATCACATAACTGTTCAATAAAATAACCTATAAATTGAATATTGAAATAAGCAAATGAGTTTTAAAAAAAGATACAAAAATATTTACAATTTGAGAAATTTCTGAAATACTAAATGCAGGAGTATTGTAAAAGCCGGAACAAAGTTCAATCTCAGATCGGATTCAAATAGGATAGTTTTGTGATGCAATGTGAGAGAAAAATAGACATGGTTCCTCAGTTTTGAGAAGTTAGCCTGCACATACATTTAGTTTAATGTCATTAATATAACTGGCTAGCAGCTATTGAGCAAAACAATAAAGGGTAACTATATACAGACAAAAGTTGTTAATCCGGACTCGTCGGGACTTCGGCGATTCCGGATTATCGATTTTTCCGGATTATAGATCATCAGTTTAAATCTGGTAAGATGGCATGCAGAAATTACAAAATTAAAAATATGAAACCGTAATTTATGAAATAAAGAACAATTATGATCTAAAGGGTATCAAAATTTACAAAAAGAAAAAGCTTAATATTTATTTGTTTACTTTATTAAACATTTCTTTCAATGTAAGTTGCTTTGTTTCATGTGATAATACTTTCTCTTTAATTCTTAAACAGACATAATTTCTTGTTTAGTTACAAAGTTCCGCGGTTCAAGTCCTATAATTGCTGTGTTGAGAATACCGACTAATTTGTCAATCGAAATGTTTTCGTTTTCAATAACCTCTGGGTCACTTTCTTCACTATCGGAAGCAAATTATAATGACAAGGAACTTGATTTAAATCATATCAAAGACGGAGTTCATTGAGATGAAATACTACACTTAGTAAGGAATTATAAGCCAAATAAAATAAAAACATCTGCCCTGAAGATAAGGATAGTGCTGACTGATCAACTTCCAATCTGCGGCGTGAAATTGATAAACAGATTTCGGATTTCAAAACATACTTTCGCTTTGTAGATACAAATTACATATTAGTAAATATATATCGGAAATTCTATTTGACATAATCGAAAGTTCAAGCTTACTTTTATAAAATTGCTCTAACAGACTGCAAAAAATAATAAGCTGGATCCAATTCGAAGATTAAGGAACAACGCAATCTGCAACATTAACTGAATTAGATACTTTTAGCTTAGCTTATACCTCAGTTACATATTAAACGCGCATGCGCACAAACATATTCGCAGCAGTAAAGGTCTTATGCGTACTCTTAAACGGCTGTGCACATGCGTGAACGCGACGCATGCGCAGAAAGTTTGTAGCTTTGAGGTCCGGATTATAGATCATTCCGGATTATGGGTGTCCGAATTAACGACTTTTGACTGCATACATAAATTTATGAGCTAAGGCATGGGAACACTTTTGGAGAGTGATAATTACAGCTCGTCATAATATTTAAGGCATGTGGATAGTAGTATAAGAAAATAATACAGATTAAATCTGATCTCTTGAAATAGAGCTTTTCTATTTGAAATCAGTTCTGAAATAAATTATATATATATCAGACACAAAATATTTTTGATATTAGATCTATAATTCCATAATAAAACTTATATGATTTTAGCATAGAGCCAAAGAAAGTTCCATTCTGCAAGCAATTATAGTAGCAAAAAGAATATGCATGCATCATAAAAGATGCAAAGTAGGAGTTAATATGCATGCATCATAAAAGATGCAAAGTAAGAGTAAATACGCATGCATCATAAAAGATGCAAAATAAAAGTTAACACAGACAGAACAGCAGAAATTCGCAAGCAGAATCCTTCTCTTTATTAAAAAAAATATATATATATATATATATATATATATTCAATACATTTTCAAGTTAATGAAAACATTAAAATGAGAGATAAGAAAGTACAAAAACCAAATATCAATTCTGATGCAGCTATGTTAACATAGTATAATAATGGAACAACAATTATGGAATACCATCAATTAAGGATATGTATATTTTTATGCTCAAACTGCATTATGAACCACATTGTTACTTACAAATGAAATGTCCTTTTGTCTTGCAGATTTTGTCCAAATTCAGCATATTAACAAAAGGCCTTAAAATAAATATATATGTGAAGAGAGAGTGTGTAACTCCAAAATGAAAAACAAAGTTAGAAAATTGAAGCTGAAATTCTATGCTATGTTCATGCTGCTTAAATTTTCAGAAAAAATACTGCTAGTCTGATTATATTGGCATCACGTAACAAAGTCCTCAGTTTGAATCATGATCTTGAGAAAATTTTCTTTTACTGGTATATTTAATAGTTTTAATGCTACTTTATTTTGAAAGAAAATTTATACATGAATAATGGTTTTTAGAAAAAAAAAAAAAAAATAGAAAAGAATGTACTAAAAAATTTCCAGAGAAAAAAAGCCTCATTTTAATAATTTTATTATATTTTCCCAACAAATGTTTAGTTACAACCAGTTTATTTATATAGGAATTCAAATACATAGCACTGGCATCAGGTACACTAAATAAATGAGGGTTATCACAATTTTTATTCATAACATGCATATCTGAAATATGAAAATACAATAGAGAAAAATAAATTAACAACCCGGGGCAAGAGGAATTAAAAAAGGAGGGAGTGCCAAATATGGTTTTCCCTTGACATTTTTAAGAACAATTATTTTGCAGAAAACTTAAATTATGATAAACTAACATTTATTGAGTGTGCTCAATACATCTCATAGTCTGAATGTGTTATGATAAATATCAACTATCACTTGTACATAAACTTTCAGAAAAATACAATAAATGCAAATAAAATAACTTAAAAATTGCTTGTAGTAAAAAAAAAAATTATAGTACTTTCTAAGCATCCACACATCTCTTTCCCCAAAACATCACCAACCATTAATAACTAATTTTTCCTTAAGCTACGACACGAACGACAACAGCCATTTTCAAATATGGCAGCACACTAAGAATCACACAAGAAAACAACCAATTAAAAATTTTAAAATGCAAATGATTTTCATAAAAAAGATAAATTTTTTTCACTGTTCTCTCCACGTATACAGCAATTTGCTTCAGCTTAAAAAATAAATAAATAGGAGAAATGCATAAATTTAGCATCATGCACAAATTTTGTTGCATAAAAATGTGATCATTTAAGTAAACTTCACTGAATACGAATTTTTGCATTCTCAAAATTGGACAAAATGCAATACAGTACAAAGTCCGTAATCCGGACTCGTCAGAACTTCGATTCTGGATTACGGGTTTTTCCGGATTATAGATCATCAATTGAAATCTGGTAAGATGGCATGCATAAATTATACAATGAAAAATATGAAACCGTAATTTATGAAATAAAGAGCAATTATGATCTAAAGGATATCAAAATTTACAAAAAAAGCTTAATATTTATATGTTTATTAAACATTTCTTTCAATGCAAGTTGTTTACGTTGCTTCGTTTTTTGTGCTAAACGTGCATGCGTAAAGCATACAAAAAAACAAGTTTGTGGCTTTGAGGTCCGGATTATAGATCATTCTGGATAATGGATGTCCGGATTATAGACTTTGTACTGCACGAGCTTTTTCATCACCCGGCAAACTCCTCAGTCTCATTGATTCCTTATGAAAGGGGGGAAAAATCAAATGCAAATAAAACAAACATTAATTGGAAAAATGACAGTGGATTTTGAAAGCAGAAATAAGCTCTCATCTGCTAAGTGCATGTGCATGCCAGAGTTGCCATATAAATACATTTTGCGACATCATGGGATGCCTATTTTGGCAACATAATGCGCTACCTCATGAATACATTTCAGAGGGTCGTAGATAGTTAAAAAGAGCTGTATTCCCCCCATTATTCCATTTAAAACTATTCATGAATAAATTTCTTTTAAAGAAAAATACAGTAAAATGAATCGATAACACCAATTAATGGAAAAGATGATAGCAGTATTTAATCTGAGGATTTCTTAATAATTTATTTGTCAAATGCCAGTTACATTGGCTGTTAGGCCATTAAACGCCTTGCTTGCCAATAGCGCTGAAATCTACAAGAAAAATTTGTCAGTGCTTCACGCTCGTTCAAACATTCCGCCGTCATTGGCCGTCCACTATTACATAAAACACACAACGGCGAATCAGCTAGTCCAATGCGAAATAAATGATTCTTTAAACAGTCATGCCCGTCAATAGTCTAAAAGAGGCAACCACAACTGTTCGCGAGTGGTCACGAACAAAAGCTGGGTTTGAAGAGAGAACACTCCAAGGCTTGCCCTCAGAAGCCCGAGTGGCAAAATCTCTAAAACTCTTTTGATATGTTAGCGATGTCAGAAGCTTAATAGAACGGAGGCTTGCACTCATTTGTGGCTTTTGGAGAACAGTAGCCCCCTTTTTCACAAGCATATCAGCCATCTCATTTTCATAAATACCGCAGTATGAAGGTACCCATTGAAAAGATATCTTGTGGGAAAGTTCTTTTATGACTTCCTGACACTGTTGAACGCATATGTTCTTACACTCTTGGTAAGAGGAGATGGCCTGTATTGCTGAAGTCAAATCAGACAGTACAACAGCCCTCCTGAACAAGCTCTGTCTCAATGATAATTGTTGGAGAGCTACATATTCAGTTAGCCTGAGCTTTCAGTTCTCTATCAAAGTAAGTGGAGTAAGCCCCCACAGGTACGTAGAAACTAAAAAGCTTGCTAAAAACTCCAGCTACAGCCCCCTGAATCCTATCAGTCAGAGAGCCATCCGTATGCACATGTATCCATTCCTCAGCCGGAAAACGTTGCTCAATTGTTTCCAAAGCTATGGTTCTTATTTGCTCTGGACTCATTTCCTTCTAATCAAATTTCATTTCCATGTTCAACCGCACATCAAGGAAGCTATAATCCAATGGATTTAACAAAAACAGCAGTGCTGGTTTCAGTGTTCTTATATGATTGTATTGTTCTAGGGAAGAGACACACTGCAGAAAGCCATTTTGTGTCTTCAGATTTCATTGCTTATTATAATCATAATTCCTCCAATGAGGGTTACTTGGTAGACGTCTAAGTCTCTGGAAAAGGATGAAA